TAATAGAGAAGCCTGTGAAGGAGTGGTCATGTAAGCCCGGTGTGCAGGCGCACACCGGTGATCCCAGCACTTGGGGATTGACAAATTCAAGGCCACCCGGGCAATTTTTCTAGACAGCCTCAAAATAACAGGAGCAGGGAAGGGAGGGGCACAAGGGTACAGGGCGTGCCTAGCATGTGCGAGGCCCAGGGTTCAATCTTCGTGCTAAAAAATAAGTAAATGACTTTACAAAACAACAAAACCCAGTACTGTACTTGCTGAGAAGAGGAAATGGATGATGCCTCGCATTGATTTTGTTTTGTTTTTTGAGACAGTGTCTCATCATGTAGTTCAGGCTGGCCTTAAACTATGTAGCCCACGCTGTTCTCAAACTCACAGCGATCCTCCTGCCTCAGCCATCCCGTGCTGGGATGACAAGCGTGTGCTGCCAAACCTGGCCTGCCTGGCATTGACCTTTCATCTTAACCCTAATTCTTCAAACTTGGTGACACCCCATAATCATGGCCTTGATGCCGTCGATCGCACCCTGACCGTTTGCTTCATCTGTAACGCTAGCCAATTCCACAACCTTGGCCCAAATCCTCCTATGACCGCTGACCTCGGACCTACCCTTCCCTTACCCCTATACCAGGTCTTCACCTAGCTGAACTGGACCTATTCCCACTGCTGATAAAAGGGCGGGGCTAGGGTCGGACTGCAGATGGATTTGCGGTACAGCCAATAATCTGAGCTGCTGTGGTTGCTGAAGCCCAATAGTTCGGGAGCGGTGGCGGGCTCAGGGGGAGCCAATAGCTCGAGAGAGCGAGCCGATCAACGACCAATAGCTTTGAGCGATAGGCGGGACTCTAAGTGAAGCCAATCGCTGGAGGGACCCGGCGAGGCCTTAGCCAATAACTGACGTGGCCCTGACCCGGTCCTCTTTCACGACCCGGCCTCGGGGTTATGGCCGGGAGTGGGAGGCTGGCTCTGCGGACGCTGCCAGGGTCGGGCTGGGTGCGGGGCTCGGGCTCCGCGTTGCTGAGCCGCCTGAAGGACGCGGCCGTGGTGCGTCCCGGCTTCCTGAGCAAGGACGAGGAGGAGACGCTGAGCCGCGAGCTGGAACCGGTGCTTCGACGTCGCCGCTACGAATATGATCACTGGGACGCGGTGAGGCCGTGGGGCGGGGCCTGGGCGGGGCCTTGCTCGGGCGGTGTCGGAACCTGGGCGTGTGGGCGGGGTTGTGGGGGCGGGGCCGGGGCCTCGGGCGGTGTCGTAACCTGGGCGTGTGGGCGGGGCTGTGAGGGGCGGGGCTGTGAGGGGCGGGGCTGTGAGGGGCGGGGCTGTGAGGGGCGGGGCTGGGAATGTGTCCCGAGAAAGGGAGTCCTTCTGGGGGATGCGGGCAGACAGCGCTTTGGTATGAGGCCTGGGCCGTATATAACCGGAGCAGGATCGGGAGTCCAGGAGTGTTTGGGGACCAAGTTTAGGAACAGACACGGGTGTGGAACGAGATGGCAGCGGTTGCTTGCAGCCTGGGGTCGTGGGTGGGATCAGTTAAGGGCAGAGGCTGAGACGAGTGAGTATTGGGGAGGGACCAGCATTGGGGATGGGAACTGGAGCCTGAGTTCAGACCTCGTGGGGGCTGGGTAGGGGTCTCAGTGTGGATCTGAGACCTGGCCAGGGTCAGAGTCGTGGCGGGGCTGGGTTAGAGGTGGCATTGTGAGTTGAGAGCAGGGGCATGCTGGGAAACCCTGCCCTCCGTGCTGCAGTTTCCGTTTCCCCCAGCTTGACCGGCCCTCTCCGTGCAGGCCATCCACGGCTTTCGGGAGACAGAGAAGTCCCGCTGGTCAGAGGCCAGCCGGGCCATCCTGCAGCGCGTACAAGTGGCCGCCTTTGGCCCTGGGGAAACTCTGCTGTCTCCAATCCACGTGCTAGACCTGGAGCCTCGGGGCTACATCAAGCCCCACGTGGACAGCGTCAAGGTGAGCAGAAGCTGTTGCCCCGGAGCTCCCAGCCGGGTGTGGGCAGAGTGGGCTGGAGCCTGACCCAGCACTGCGGCCCTCTTCCAGTTCTGTGGAGCCACCATCGCCGGCCTGTCCCTCCTGTCTCCAAGTGTAATGCGGCTGGTGCACACCCAGGAGCCAGGGCAGTGGCTGGAACTCCTGCTGGAGCCTGGCTCCCTCTATATACTAAGGTACAGCGGAGCTCAGGACACTGCCACCCCGGCATGTGCAGGACACCCGCTGGCACTTGGGCCCCCTCTCGTTTGGCCCTCACCACCCGCACCACACCCAGGCAGGCGTGGGGGCGGAGGGACTGGGACGCGATCTGCCTGGAGCGGCGCTGCTCCCGGCCCTCCCCCTCAGAGCCTGTCTTTTTATCTGCAGGGACTCGGCCCGTTACGATTTCTCCCATGAGATTCTCCGAGACGAAGAATCATTTTTTGGGGAGCGTCGGGTTCCCCGGGGTCGACGCATCTCTGTGATCTGCCGCTCTGTCCCCGAGGGGGTGGGGCCAGGACGGCTACCCCCAGCCTGCTGACCTCCAGCCTCTCCCAGACACCGGATCTGTGAATAAAGCTGAACAGACAAGCCAGCTGTCCGGCCTGCTGGAGGGGAGCCCCAGGGGCAGCACAGTCAGAGGGCCAGGAAAGCAGTTCTTTATTGCGCCGGCCCACCTCCCCGCCTTGGCCTCCTGCGCCTGGGCTCCCGGAAAGAAGCCGCCGAGCCCTGCAAGCGCTGTAGCTGCTTGGTGCCTGGGGCTGCAGGGCACCGGCCTGCGCACTCAGCCGCCGCAGCCACAGGCAGCAGCCGAGAGCTGGGGCAGCCGCTGCCAGCGGTGACGCTCGTCCAGGAAGGCCACGTCAGCGTAGCGGGTGGGCCGGCAGCAGGGTCCACCGTGGGCCTGGCCCCGGCCCCGCAGTCGGGCCAGCGTCAGGCCGTGCTGGGTACGGGCGCCGCGGGGACAGCTGCCGGCGCAGTAGCGGAAGGTGACCTTCTCCTCTGAGGCGTAGCCCAGGCCCAGCTCCGCCACGGGCAGCGTCAGGCTCCACAGCTGGCACGGGCTGCCAGGGGCTCTGCGCAGGCGGCCATGGGAGTCTCGGGCCCCTGGAGAGAAAAAGGACGCTGACAAAGGCGGGGCCCGGCAGGAGGGAGTTGGAGGTTGCTTGGGCTTTCCTGGGGCCCTTACCCAGCGCTGGCCTCCCGGTCCCTCCAGCCTCGGCTTTCTGCTCGGGCAAGAACTCTCCCTCCGCCACCAGAGCATCTCGGGCCCCAGGGCCCCAGCCGAGGCCCAGCCGCAGTGACAGGAGCAGCAGCAAAGCCAGCAGGACTCTCCCTGTGGCCATGGTGACAAGCGGGTCCTGAGGCTGAGGGAGCCCGGCTCTGAATTTATCCCCTGCCTGTGGGGGCGGGGGCACTGACCTCTTCACTGCTGGTCCCACCGGCAGGACAGCGTGTCCCCATGGAGTGTGTCCCCCGGTTCTCAGGCCCGAGGATGGTCTCCTCCTGCCTCACACCCCATCCTTAAGAGTTAAGGGCTCATCCCACCACGCCCAGGCCAGACATTCCACAGACCCGTTTCTGACGCCCCCTGATTTACGAGTCATGCAGGCAGCCAGAGCCAAGCCTGGGTGGATGACCTGTGTCCCCACCCCACCTGCTGTCTGGAAGGGTCCCAACCCATGAAGGCAGGAGCAGGGACCCAGGGCCCCCGTGGGTGCCGGGTGGGGCAGACGCTGGGAAGAGCAGCTTGGCAGGTGCTGAGGTAGCGGGGATTAAACCATCATGCCCGTCTCCGGGCCTGGCTGAGCCAGCATCAAAACAGGAAGCGGGAGAGGCTGGGGGACAGCCAGGCCTGGGGACACGGGGCCAGGGACTCTCTGGAGTGTCAGCCCAGGACCCCTCGGCTGGGGCTTCATCCTGGGGTCCGAGAGCATCAGGGCCGAGGGGAGGCTGAGACCCATCATGCGCAGATGGGGCCAGGGCAGGTTGAGGCAAGGTGCGATTGTGGCCTGGTATGACTTGGAGAGCACCAAGGGTTTAGTGCAGTCCCTGCACTGAAAAGCTGACCACAGCTTTGCTTATTTCAGTGCTGGGGATGGAACCCAGAGCCTTGTGCATGCGTGGGAAGCTCCAGCCCCGTCTTGTTATTGAGACAAGGTCTTCCTGTTACTCAGACCAGCCTCAGACCTGCTGTCTTCCCTCAGCTTCTCAGGTAGCTGGGGTTACAAACTGGATTTGTGTGTATGTGTATATGGTTTGTTGTTTTTTTTTTTTTGAGACAGAGTTGTTACATAGTTCAGGCTGGCCTCAAACTTGGGACAATGCTCCTGCCTCAGCGTCGGGAGTGCTGTGATTAAAGGCATGAGTCACCAGCCTGGCAAAAGTGTGTTTTTGTAATACTAGGGGTAATACACAACAGGCAAACACTACCACGAAGCCGCTCCCCAACCCTTTTGTTTTGAGACAGCATGTTGCTAAGTAAGTTGCCCAGACTGGTCTCCAACTCAAGATCCTCCTGTCTTGGCCTCCTGAGTCGCTAGGATCCCAGGTGTGCACCCCTGCACTGGGCCTGAAAGCTTCTGAGGCCAAGGAATACAAAGAGCTCGTTTGCTGTGTGTCTCAGCAGGTGTCTGACCCTGTGTGCACAAGAGGTAATGTGTCCCAAGGAGCTTCACCCGAGAGTACCAAGTAGCCAGCACCAGGGTGGTCACTGGCTTTCTGTCCTGGAAGACCATGAACTCCAGGGGATGTTTTGGTGGCGCTTGTTCTGGTACTTACTCAGATTACTCTGAAAGCCGGGTGTGGTGGCGCATGCCTGCAATCCCAGCACTCGGGAGGCTGAGGCAGGAGGATCATTGCAAGTTTGAGACCAGCCTGGGCTACAAAGTGAGCTCAAGGCCAGCCTGAACTGCATAGCAAGACCATCTGCGAGAGTTGTTTTTTTGGTTGTTTTTGTTTTTTTTGGTACCGGTTATCAAACTCAAGACCTTGCGCTTGCCAGGCAGGCGCTTATACCATTGTGCTATATTCCCGCCCTGAGACCCTGTCTCAAAGAGACAACAAAGTAGGCTAACAGACCTGGGTTTTGAACCCAGGTCCCCCCCAAATGCAAGAACCTGCTCCTAACTCTTGGCTACGCTGCCCATCTTCCTGGTGCAGAGACCTAGACTGAGGTCCACGTGGCAGGGACAGCAGGGCTCAGCTCTGGTGGCCAGGAGTGCGAGCTGCTCTCCAGCCCCCAAAGAGGCCGGGCAGGGACACTCCTCGGAATTAGCCTGACATCCCAGGCATCCCGCTCAGCCAGCGCGTGGCACTGGGTGGGGAAGTTTCCCACCATAATTTCCAGCCGTGGCAGGATGGAAGCTCCACATCCTGCCTTTGGCCCCAGTGCTTGGGGCCCAGGTTCAAAGGGGTGCTGACGCCCAGTTCCATTCCTGGCCACGTTACCACCCAGGACCTTGAAACAGCCTTTCTCAAGAACGCCTCGAGATGTTGATAAAGGGATCGTCAGCTTGGCCAGGGGTGAGCAGAACCCTAGCGACATCTCTGGGGGACACAAAATGGGGCCCACGAGCCAATGCCAGCACCGAGGCTATGGGCTCTGGCAGCTGTATGGGGACAGAGCCCCCGAGCTAAGAAACAGGGAGACGGGTGCAGGTGGCTGGCAGAGCCAAAGGGATACCGTCTGGAGGACTTATCAGCAAAGCAGACAGCTGGGAGTCTGCCGAGCACCCACCCCGAATACCGAAGCCAGGAAATCACCTACGGGGTGGGGCAGCGGCGGGCATGGCAGGATGCTGGTAAGCTTGATTCTAGACGTGTCTAACAGACTGTACGATAAGCATGCTCAAAGTAAATGCAAAAATGTGAAAGGGAGCCAGTCAGGATGTGAATGCCTATAATCCCAGCACTCTGGGAGGCTGAGGCAGCAGGACAGCAAGCTCAAAGCCAGCCTGGGCTACACAGGGAGACCTTGTCTCAAAAAGAAAAAATGGGGCTGGGGACGTAGCTCAGCAGCACAAGCCCCTGACTGGCGAGTGCAAGGTCCTAAGTTTGATTCTAGGTACCAAAATAAAAGGATAAAAAATGTAAAGGAGAAAACACTAGCCAGACAATCAATCTGAAACAGACGCAAGGATAACTTTGGGCAAATGATAACGGAGTTGCTGAAACTAAGTTTATAAGCGGTTATGCGGTAGATAGTCCTGGGCTCCCGGCCGAGGGGAGCAGGGCGTCGGTGCGGCATCCCTTACCTGGCGGGGACTCCGCAAGGGGACAGAGCAGAGGGGGCCTCCCAGGCACCCGGCCCCGAGGCAAATGAACGACAGAATGGGGAGAAGGGGGGCTGAGGGCAGAGGCGGCGAGGAACACGGAGCCAGGCGGCGTGGGTGCGCGGTTGTCTATCGGGGGCCGGGGCCTCACTCCTTGAGGGAGAAGTGCATCTTGTCGTTGACCATCTTCCGCTCAGGGTTGAGGCGCTTCAGGATCTGGGCCAGCACGTTCACCGTCTGCTCGCTGCTCAGCCCCGTCTTCTTGGTCTGGAACTTCTTCAGCAGGTCCTTGGTAGTCATGGGCTTCCGGGTCAGGTAGCGCCGCACGGCGTCCTCGGTCACCTGCACGTCACTGAGGGGCGTGGGGCAGAGGTCACCCACGGCCCCTGGGGTGCTGGCCCCCTCACCCCCACCCCGCCGCCGTCCCGCGGACTTACCCGCCGCTGGGTGTGGACTTTCCGGAAGGCGGCTGTGGGGTTGACTTCCCGGAAAGGCTCTGGGGCCCCGCGTCCAGCCGCAGCCGCTTGGCTGCTGGCGTCTCGCTTGTCCGCTTCCCTGTTGGGGAGGCTCAGGGCTGAGTCTCTTCCTTTTGCTTCTGTACTGCAGATCCAACCCTGGGCCTTTGCACTGAGCTATGTCCCCAGCTTTTTTCTTTATTTTTTAAATTTTGAGGCAGGATCTCATTAAGTTGCCCAGTCTAGGCTCGAACTTAGATCCTCCTGCCTCAGCCTCCCAGAACACTGGGATGAGAAGTGTGTGCCACTGTGCCTGGCTCGGGTGGCAGGTGGGGCCTTTGGGCAGGCGCGGGCAGGATCACCGGCACAAAGGGCTCAGGAGGACAGGGGCCCGGGCTCACCTTGCTCCAGTTTGCTGGCAGCAGCCCGCAGGGTGGAGGAGGTGCTGCCGCCCTCCCCGCTGGGGGAGCTGGGGCGGCTGTTTCCCCGTGAGCTGCCTCCCGAGGGCTTCCGCTCCCGCTTGGGCGGCGTCTTCTTCTTCTGCAGAGGCGGGACTGGGGGTGAGTCTGGAGCCGGGCCCCACCTGCCAGCCCCCCACACCGCCCTGCGCCTAGGCCACGCCTCACCGCCATGAAGAGGGCAGAGGAGGCCTCGCTGTCGATGTCGCTCTCCTCGGAGCTGTCGGACTCGTCGCTGCTGTCTGCGGGGACCGAGGGCTTCGGGTCAGGACAGCGGCGCAGAGGGGACACCTGCGCCCGCCCTCGGCTCCATCACCCACCGGCGGCCCACCTTTCCGGCGCTTCTTCTCCTGCGGGGCGGCGGCCTTCTTCTCCTCCTCCTCCTCCTTGTCCTCCTCAGCCGCGGCGGCCGGCTTCTCCTCCCCACTCTCCTCGCTGCTCTCGCTCTGCTCGTCCACACCTGGGCCG